CTTTCAGGCCGTTCTTGAAAGACACGACCGCTACCTCTTGGTTGCATTCGGGTATTCGGTTGAACACCTCGTAGTACCTCTTCGCATAGGCCCTGAGGCCTTCTTCCTTGGTGATTCTTAGAGCCATCAAAGCATCAACCCTCAGGGGTTGCAGCTTGTTGGTCACGAACCTGGCCACAAACATCTCGGCCAGGCCTTCCCATGTCTTTATGCTTCCCTTTGGTAATTTATGGAACCAATCAGATGCAATTTCCCCAAAGGATGAGGGGAATACTTTGCAGAGCAACGGCTCGTTCCCGCTATATAACGCCATTGAATTCAAGTATAGTCCAACATGAAAGTTTGGGTCTGACTTGCCATCATAAATTTGAAACCTCGGCATACTGAATCTTTTTGGTGGTTCGAATTTGTCCAGTTCCACCGAGAAGGCTGTCTTCGGTTTTACTGGGGAGTTTACCTCGGCTTCAACATTCTGCTGCCTCCTTTTTAGGTAGTCCCTCAGGTCTTCTTTACTCCTCCCTGGAGCTCGGCTGTCTATGGATTTTAGTCTTTTTGGTACACTGCTTTCGTCCTCGTGGTGGGCCTGTTTGGATCTTTCTCCATGGGTTGTGTCAAAGCAGAGTGCTTGCCTTTGAACATGCCGATGTTCTTTGGGCTCTGGATTCTTCATGTGGTGCGTCCTTCGGGACTCCTCTTGCCTTGGCTCTTCTTGTCCGACTTCCCTGGAAGGCCGGTGAGAATGTCTTCCGCTCCTGGTATGTTGCGGGACGTCGGGGATTGTTTTTCTTCCGCCCTTCTGGGCGTTGGTTGTTGGCATTGGCATATCTTGCAGCGGGTATGGTGGCTGCATAACATTATTCTGCATCATGAAGTTGACGACTGACTGAAAGTCTGCCAACTTGTTTGCTAATTCTTTTACTTCCTCATCCCTCCGTAGGCATCTGTCCCTCCATACCTGGAGGTTATCTTCATTGTAGTACTTTCCTTGGTCTGTCCTTTTTGACGTGTCGCCTTCCTGGATGACGTTTTTCTCTCTGTGACCCTGGTCACGGGCTTCTGTATTGTGGTTGTCTCCTTCAATGTCAAGGTCAATTGGTCTGCCACTCCCAGCGGGAGCGTCATCCCCAATATTTTCCTGCTCTCCGTTACTGGCCATCTATTCTTCCTTCGTTCCCACAGACGGCGCCAAATTGTGTGGGTGAAAATCTGACCACACTGCCTGCTTAGTGATCAACTGGAGAGCACAAGCAGAATAGATGGCTTTAGCAACCTGAAACAGAAAGAAAAGGCTTCGGCGGTGGTTCTTCCACCCGGAGGCACTCCGACGATCAAGTCAGTATATCTCTCAAAGATAATCAAGTGCAAAACTTAATACTCAAAACATAAATTGCATACCTTAGACCCACGGGGGTGCCTCTCTTTTATAATATACTCAATCCAAGTCCTACTAGAAGTATGACTTCTATGAACTCCAATTTAGTGCTTACTCTGGACTCTTTAAGAGATAAAGATAAACTCCCTAAGAGCTTTATCCTTTTCTTGGTTAAGTCTCCTCTTCGTCTTAGGACTCTTGTTCTTTATTCGCTTTATCTCGGATTCCGATATCTGCGGAGATAACCTCGGCCTTGTCGAGATCACCTCGGCGTTACGACCAGGACACGTGGCACCTCGGCTGACACGTCGGCGTCACCTTGCCACGTGTTGGTACTCAGAAAATATATCCCCACAGTATAAATCTTCATAGGTGCATATTGTGAAAAGTATATATACACAATGGGGAAGTGTTACTATGTAATGCTACACAAGTGTTAATCTATTCACATTTTATTGTTGTTAAAAAAATAGCATGCCAAACAAAATATTGGTATATTAAGTGTTAGGAATTTCATACATACATCTAATTAGGATTGATGAAATGAAAAAAACAGATAAGAAAGACAATACAGATCAAAACAATTACATTCAAGAATCTTAGCTCAAGCCTGAGCCCAAGCCCTAATGAGAGAATTATAGGCCATCCTCCAAGGACTATACTTGGCAAGAAATCGGGGTTGGAAGCAAATCGAGATTGGAATAGATTATCGCGAAATAATATGTCTCAGTAAAGAACCAAACTCCAACCATCTGGATCACAACTTAGCTCTTCAAATTCGGATGATCCTAGATAGAGATTAGGAGTGTCATATAAGCCATATTCCTTGCGAGGCAAATGGCTATGCAGATTAAATGGCAATGGAGGTAGTAAGTATAAAGTGATCCTCAACTTAGATTGGTAGAAGTTACGTTGACAAGTTTGAAGCAATTTTTTACGCAAGAGATGCCTGATTGATAGGTCTTATAGTTTGTGTGTTTGGCTTAAGCCCCCCATTGTAACCGAAAAACAAAACAAAACAAAAATCGAAACAATCATATTATGTGGTTCACTCTAGATGTGTTCAAGATTGCTACAATTTTGCTACAAAGCATGATTTGAAAATGATTACAATTCTCTCACTCAATACAAAAGACACCCCTTATATATAAAAATAAAATTAAAGTAACATGGAAATAGCAAAGAAAATTACCAAAATATCCAAAAAAATGAGGGTGAGGCTCCCGAACCCCCCATTGAATTAAGGATCTAATATCTCGTACTTATTAAGATTCACAATATTGAAAAATTTGAGATCAAAACTATTGAACTCCCATTAAATTAAGGATCTAATATTACGTACTTATCAAGATTCATAATACCCAAAAATTGAGGTTGAAACTTTCTAATTTATATTGAATCAAGGACGCAGGGGTGTTTTGGGAAATTGGTTTTTGGCCACTTTTTTAGGTTTATAACAAAAGTCAAAAGTTGGCTTTTTTGTATTTAAAGACATTTGAGAAGTTGGTTTTCAGTCACGGGTGAAATTACAATTCTATTCCTCATTAGTCAAAATGTGCTATATGGATGAAGTTGTAAATATTTTAAATTGAATGTGGGTAGTTTGGTTATTTTATTATGATTTCATATCATAAAAAAATATTAATCAAAAAAATCAAAAATAAATTTGTACCAATTTTCTAAATCATTTATCTAAAAAAATCAAAAATTTAATTAAAAATCAAAAAATCACTTTTACTATCTTTTCAAAATAGAGCTTAATATTCCGTACTTATCAAAATTCACAGTACCAAGAATAACTTCAACCACTCATACATTTTTTATTCAATATTAACAATTAAATTCATACATAACAATAATAAAATAGATAGAATAGTAAAATCGGTGGTCATTGTAATATATTTATTTAAGGATTGTTTGGGATATTTTAAATAAATGTATTTTTTAACTTTTTAGATTAAAAAATTAAAAAAAAAATATGATTATTTGGGATAATTTTTTGACTTTTTACAAAAAAATGTATATTAAAAAATTATATAATTTAGTGTATATGAAAAGGGAGAAAGAAATAGGCCATACGCTGGGCAGAGCCGTGGCAGACTAGCATATAGGATATACTTGCCTCCTTTTCGGACATTGAATTAGAAGGTGATGTCAACTTGTGGGGGCCATCACGGGACTCGTTTTGGTAATCGGAACCGTTCAATGTATAGAATTCATCGAGTACTATATGTTTATAAAATATCACGTTGATCGAATATTGATAGTTATTTGATCGCTTTAAATTTTTGTCAACCGTTAACTATAATACCATCTTTTTTTATACAAAACTGATTTGATCATGTAGTTAGCAATATCCGATCAACGTGATTTTTTACAAGCATATAGTACTCGACGAGTTTTACACATTAACAGCTTATATTATCAAAATGAGACCCGTGATGGGTCCCCACGGGCCGAACAACATTATCCTTAAGCTTGCCTCCGCCTATGTAATTTGTTCTCACCAAAATCAACAAAAGGCAACTCCCGTCAAACTTGATTTGTACCTTTTTTGTATAAAAATAATTCTTTTATAATTTTTTTATGAATAGTAATCAGTGTGTTTGGTTTGAATTTTCTAGATTAAATTTTTTGAAAATTGAGTTTTTTGGTTTTCGTATTCTTTTGTTTTTAGTGAATATTTTTTAAATTTTAAACATTTTTTTTTACTTTTTTAGATGCACCTTAGTTAGATGTATCTAAAAAGTAAAAAATTTGTGAAAACATATTTTAAAAAATTAATAAATACATAGAAATACAAAAAATATATTGAATTCTTGTATTTTTTTTTATATTTTTGGTATTTAGTGAATTTTTTTACTTTTTAGGTATATTTATGTTAGGTGTGTCTAAAAAGTGAAAAAATTACTTAAAATATTTAAAAAATCAGTAAAAATAAAAAAATATGAAAAATAAAAAAATAGAATTTTCTGAAAAGTATTTTCTGAAAAATAAAAACAAGCAAACTGAATAATTATTTAACTTTTTATATTTTTTTAAAGATTCCAAATCAAGCCTTAATTAATTATTTGGATTTGGACGAGGGTGATGGGAAAACCCGGAGCGGGAATGCGGAACGGCGGCGGGATGGAAGAAGTTCGCATCCCTAGCGGCATAAGATGGATAGCCTGAAAAATTAATAAATAAATTTTATTAGGCTAGTTTATGAAACATTACTTAAAATTTATTTAAAATACATATTATTTTTTATACTTTGAAATTTTTTAAATAGATCATTGTTAAATTTTTTATTTAATAAAATTAATTAAAAAATAAAATTTTTAATTATTTTCATATATAATAATAAAATAATTTAAATTATTAATTAAAATAAATAAAAATTATTAATTATTTTCTTAATTTATTAATAAAAAAATATTTATTATAAAATTAAAAATTTTAAAAGACGAAATATTATTTTTAAAATTATAAGAATACGAAATATTATTTTTAAAATCATAAGAAATAAATCATATTTTAAGTAATTTTAGGGGTATGGTTGTAATTTATCCATTTTATTTATTTTTTCTTTTTTTTTTATTGAATTTATCGCTACAAAATGCATTGTATATAAACTCAGCATGGTCGAATTCCTTACTCCCACCAATTCCCATTCTTTCCCCCCATAAACCCTAGCAACCCAATTCCCATTCTTCGCTCACTTTCCATCTCTCTCTCTCTCGCTCTCTCAGACTCATACGACGAGACTCGAATACAATACACAACAGCACACGGTAGTGATTCGCCCCTATCAAGAAACAACAACAACAAAGAAACAAAATACAAAAACCAAAGTTTTTCAGCTGATAAAACCACGATTTCGACAAAGAAGAAGAAGTTAGTCTTCCTACTCTTTTGTTTTCTTTCTTTTTTACCCACTCTGTTTATGTCGAAATGCCCAATGCTCGATTTTTCAGTTTAAAATTATAAATCTTTGTTAAAAAAATCCATAGGTGTACAATCAATCATCAGCGGGAAAAGGGGGCTTAATTTGAGTTGGGTTTATCAGATCATCATCATCATCATCATTATCGTCGTCGAGCAGAGAATCAAAATCATTATCATCTTCATCTTCTGCATCTAAAAAGAGAGAAAAATGAAGTATGTGTTGGTGACAGGCGGCGTAGTTAGTGGTCTTGGTAAAGGGGTGACTGCCAGTAGCATTGGTGTCATTCTCAAGGCTTGTGGGCTTCGTGTTACTTCTATTAAGATTGGTCAGTCACGTTTAGTCTTTTTACTCCTTGAATGTGGGTTTTTTGAAAAAAAAAAAAAAAAAAAAAATAGCTCTTTAACACTGTTGTTACTTTGAATTATGTACAGAACTTAGCTGGGTAATCTGGGTTTTCTTCTTGTTTGTAATTTCTTTGAAAGAAGCGTTTTGTTTCAACTACCCTTGTGAAATGTTCACAATGTTGTGTCTTGTTACTAGTGCTTCCATTTTTGTTAAATTACAAAATCCAATTTGAGAAAACAAGAAGTAGTTATTGCTATCTCACAATTTGCTCTTTCATTCAGATCCTTACTTGAACACTGATGCGGGAACAATGTCCCCTTTTGAGCATGGGGAAGTGTTTGTTCTAGATGATGGCGGCGAGGTAAAATAGGTGCCCTTTATATTACTCTTGCGTATCCACTTTTCCATATATTTTTATTGTAATTTCTTATGTTCAGTGTATCGGGTTATTGTTTTCTTGCTGTTGCTGGAAGTTCAGACCTCTTGAGTTCTCAGCAGGAAGATTTGGTAATTTGAGTTGTCAATTCTATGATATACTGGAAACTTGGTCACTTTGGTGGTGTTGCATTACTAATTAGTTACTAAGGATGTGCTATGAAATTTGAGTTATTTTTGTTTTTTAATTAAACATTTGATTTTCAGGGAACAAAAACAGAACTAAAGAGTCAAATATTATGAAATGTGGAATTTTGGCTTTGGCAACATTTGATTTTCAGGGAACAAAAACAGAACTAAAGAGTCAAATATTATGAAATGTGGAATTTTGGCTTTGGCAATTGCTGTAGCTTTGGGAATTTTGGCTGAGATGATATGTGGGCTTCTGTATGGATTTCCTTATGAAATAAATTAAATGAACTTGATTGGGACACACAGATTAGTTTGGTTTAATAGTTTGCTACTATATGTGCATATTGTCTTGCATCTAAAACGAAGTTTATGTTTTTGCATGAAATGGAGTTGGAGAATGGGGAGTTTTCATGTAATGCTAATTAACTATGATACTATATTGTTTGAAGGTGGACCTGGACCTTGGAAACTATGAGCGGTTCCTAGACATCAAGTTGACACGTGACAATAATATCACTACTGGAAAAATTTATCAGGCAAGTGGGTTAAATTGGGCATGACCTTATCTTCATATATAACTGTTGCTAGAGATTCTTTTAAGTTCCTTGCTTACTCTATTGATTACCTTTTTCATCTTGTGTGATAGGCCGTAATTGATAAGGAGCGAAGGGGAGACTATTTGGGGAAAACTGTTCAGGTTATTCTCTGCCGCTGAATACAAATTTTAACTTTGGTCTCTTAAGAATTTTTGAGAACTATTTTTGCACAGAAATGAAAATGATGGGTACATTCATACATTTTATTGTTTTTAGTTTCTGAGAACACAAAAACAAAAATATTGAAAATGAAAGCAATACCAAACAGGCCCTTTGCATCCATATTCCCTGTTTTTGAGATTTTATTTACCTTGGGCAGGTTGTTCCACACATCACAGATGCCATTCAAGAATGGATTGAACGCGTAGCCATGATTCCAGTGGACGGTAAAGAAGGTCCAGCTGATGTTTGTGTCATTGAATTGGGTGGTACTATAGGTAGATTAACCACTAAGTCTTGATGTGGCAAAATTAGTTGATTTACTGTTTTGGTTAGCTAAAAGTAGTTCTCTGATGCAGGGGACATTGAGTCAATGCCATTCATTGAGGCTCTGGGACAGTTCTCCTACCGTGTAGGTAAGAATGCTTCAACTTATAACACAAATGCAACCTACTACTTGTCAAAGCAAAATGAGTTGTATGATCAACTTACTTTCAGATCTTTAAAGTGGTTAATTTCTTTTCAAAATTTCTCCCCTTTTCAGGTGCAGACAACTTTTGCTTGATACATGTCAGCTTGGTACCTGTTTTGAGTGTCGTTGGTGAGCAGGTAAAGTTGTAATATGCATACTTTATGCACTATAGTTATCCGGTTGATGCAGGGGTGTCTCTATATTCAATTAATAAAATAAGTGAATAATGTTGTCATAATATGACTGAAGTTTGTGTCACATTTAGAAAACAAAACCAACTCAGCACAGTGTTAGGGGACTAAGAAGCCTGGGATTGACACCAAATATTTTAGCTTGCCGCAGCACAAAGGTCTCTCTCTTTCTCTCTCTCTCTCTCTCTCTCCTTACATGTGTATATTGTGTTGTTTACGTCCATACTCCATACCTTTTTTGTGTGTATGTTTTTGACCCGTGATACCTCAATGCAATTTTCAGGAACTTGAAGAAAATGTGAAGGCAAAACTTTGTCAATTTTGCCATGTTTCGGTATTTTGGTCTGAAGGATTTTTATTTAATTATTTAATTTTGGCTGGCACATTCCTCGGCATATTTATTTATCTGTCTTGCTAGTTTCTACTTTGTTAAACCTGCATGTTTTCCAGGCAGAAAATATCATCTCACTCTATGACGTGTCCAACATCTGGCATGTTCCTTTGCTTTTAAAAGTAAGCAATTCGGTGATAGATTTGAAGCGTATTCTCATCTCTAATTTCCATTTCTTACAACAAGTCTTGGCTATGTGTTTTTCATCTCAATTAGGATCAGAAGGCACATGAGGCAATCTTGAAAGCGCTGAACCTTATAGGGTTTGTCTAATAAGCTTAATTCTTATTTTCATCTTTTGTGTTTGCTTGATTTTTTGGGATTTGATTTGTTGGTCTTTTGCTGGCATGGTGATGTATGTGTTTATTTCATGCAGTGTTGCCAATGAACCTGCATTGGTAGAATGGAAATCTAGGGCTGAACTCAGTGACATGTTGCATGAGCCTGTACGATACTAGCTTTTTTTGGATTCAGATTTGTCTACTATTTGCTGCCAAAATATAAAGAGATATGTCATTTAATTTACAGGTCAGAATTGCCATGGTTGGAAAATATACAGGCCTTTCAGATTCTTACCTATCTGTCCTAAAGGTGAAATCAGCTATTTGTGTCTTGTCTTATTAAGTGTGTCTCATTATCTGGGTTTTAGTTTTGAGAAGTGATAATAACTGTTTGGTCTCTCTCTCTCTCTCTCTCTCTCTCACACACACACACGTGTGCTCGCGCACACAGATATATTCACTATGTTTGTTCTAATGCATGTCTAAAGATCTCCAAAATCACATTCAGAAATAAATGTTTAGGCTTTGTTCTCTAGTGTTCCATTTACATGTAAGATATATGGATACGTGCATGTTAATCTAATACATTTCCATACATGGTGTAGCTTGTGAGTTTGCAAGTTTGATGTTGTTGCTGATTCATCTATAAGGTATGCTCTTTGTAGGCTCTGTTGCATGCTTCTGTTGCTTGCCACATGAAACTTTTTATCGAATGGATTCCATCCAGTGATCTTGAAGATGCAACGGCTAAAGAGGTCATGATCAATTTCAAGTTCCCAGTCATGTTTCTATGTCTCATATCACCTGACAAATGTTTTCTCTGTGCAGAATCCTGAGTCTTATAAAGCAGCTTGGAATTTATTGAAGGTTTGTATAGATTAGGGTTTAGAAACCTTGGATTAACCGAGTGCAATTGCTTTCCTAGGGATCTAGTTGTTCATATTTCACTATTATGTTGCAGTAGGTTTCTCTATTAGCTCTATAATAAGCCTTTTATTTTTAGGGTGCAGACGGTGTGCTTGTTCCTGGGGGTTTCGGCGACAGAGGGGTGCAAGGGAAAATTATTGCCGCAAAATATGCCCGCGAAAACAAGATTCCATTTCTTGGAATATGCCTTGGAATGCAAATTGCTGTCATTGAGTTTACTCGATCTGTCCTTGGGCTGCAAGATGCAAACAGCACTGAGTTTGATCCTAACACTAGCAACCCTTGTGTTATATTTATGCCTGAGGTTTATATCTCTTAGCACTTGATCTGTAGAGTAGGATAGCTCTACTTAGTTATCTCATTTTACCGTTTGTTTCATTGGAATTCTGATCTTTGTACCATTAACAGGGTTCAAAAACTCATATGGGTGGCACTATGCGTCTTGGATCAAGGAGGACTTATTTTCAGGTTGCAGATTGCTTGTCTGCAAAACTGTAAGTACACTTGGCTATAGTGGCATAGAAACTTACACATGTGCGCACACATACATATATTATGCATCTGTTGAATGTTGTTGGAGTTAGTGTAATGTAGTCAAGTACATAGAAAGATACACATGCTTCAAACAATTCCGTTTTGAATTGTTATGAAGTAAGATTTTTTAAGGGAAAATTGCACTGTCCTCTGCTGAAGTTTGGGATTCAGCCAGCTGGACCCCCTTGTTTTAAAATAGTCAGGGGCTTACCCTTCCGTCGATGACCGTTGGTGGAGTTTTAAATGTTGAGTGGGTTGACTGTATTATTGGTTTTACCCTCAAATGAAATTAAGTTGCATTAATGACCTTACAATGTGACCTTAATGACATTGTTTATTTCCAAAATCAGTACAAGCACCAAACTTCACAACCATTTAAAGAAGAGCTTGCTTTGAAAACAACTATTATTATTCTTTTGATATCAAATGCACCCTTAGTGACCAATTCACAGAGCAGGAGTGGAAGTGAGTGCAAAAGCATGAATAGTGAAAGTATTATGAGAGCAGGAGCATCTCCAGAGTGTCTTTATATATATGAAAGTTATTTAAGTACAGGTGTGCTGAATTAACATGCTCACTCTTAGCTAATTGATTTAATATGGATTCTGCTAGATATGGCAATAAGAGCTTCATTGATGAGAGACATCGACACAGATATGAGGTATTTTCCGTTCACAAGTAGTGTCACAGAGTCATTGTTTACTTATTGTTCCAATCTATTCAGTATGTATTTCGGCTAGAGAAATAGTTTTGTTTGTGTAGGTGAATCCTGATATGGTAGCACAACTTGAAGACGCTGGCCTCTCTTTTACTGGCAAAGATGAAAGCGGTCAACGCATGGAGGTAGATATCATGGTCATAGAATTGACCGTGGTAATTGTTGAATTAGTTTACTTTTGTTGGTTTAAAGTACATACTGGTGTATGGTTCTGCAGATTGTTGAACTGTCTAGCCATCCATTCTATGTTGGTGTTCAATTCCATCCCGAGTTCAAATCAAGACCAGGGAAACCTTCGGCTCTTTTCTTAGGTATTTATCTGTCATCTTAAATTCATCTGACGAGGAAACTATGTGAATTCACTAAAATTTCCTTCTGTTATTGTGCATTCATGTTAGGCTTCCCATGTGTATAGATTGATGGAATTGTTCTTGTTTCATCTGATACTTGTGTGATATTTTGTACCGTCTGTTACGGTTTTTACCACTGGGACACTGATTAATGGTCATTAATATCATTAGGCTGCCATACTGACCAACAGAACATTCTGAGATACATTTGCTTTATATTGTGTTCTAAGAAGCATAGGCACATGACATGACATGGACATATCAACACAGAAATTTTCAAAAAATGCAGGACATGACACTTGGAGGACACATGCAAAATATATAGTTTTATATATTTATTATATGGCATGTGTAAGAGATAAGCAACTATTTTCACTTGAGAGCAGGTGAACCTTGTAGGTTGTAGCATTGATTCAGTGACCAAAGGTCTGACTTTAATAGCTGGTTGAAGGACTTAAAAGTTGTGTGCATACCACATTCCACAAGGATGACTCAAAAACGAGACCTTGGGTTTATTGTTATTGTCCCTTGCACCATCTAATCTGTAGTGATTGGTTATTTTTCTTGCACCAAGTTGCGCCCTCCCAACCCAATTAAATTTGTAGTCCTACTCATAAAGTACTAACCAATAAGCTAAACCAGTTAAGTTCTGCCCATGACATCTTTAGTTCGAGCTCTTTCATGTCATCGTGAATTTTTCTAATAAAGGTCAGAATTTTAGTCCATGTACAATTTCTAGTGTAGTTATGGTGTTTTCATTGAAAGTGCTTGACAACAAGCTCTGAGGATTATACCCTAGGTATCTTTTATGTTTGAACTGCATCCTGCTTGGTTTGGTTTGGTTTGGTTTTATCTAGTCTTTGGAATTCAAAAGTATTTTCTAGTTTAAAATTTTACAAAATTAAGGCAAGGAATGGCAAATATGAAAATAAGAGCAATGTTGACTAATCCGTAGGTGGGGACGAATTATAGTAATTTGTTTCAACTTGAAACATAAACAAAGTCAAAGGATCATCTAAAAGAGACTCTCTGAAAGACCAGATAATACAAATAAAGGATCCATTTTGACAGGAAATGGTATTTTGTTAGTGACCCTTTGGGGCCTTGGCTTGTTACGCGAGTCTGACTTTCATATTTCTGTATGTGAAAAGAAATATAAATATCTCCATATACAAATCTCAAATGAGTACTGCGACTTCATAATTGTAACCTTCCCATGGCATATAAACTACTAATGCTCATTTCCTCAATGTTGGTCATTGACATTGCAAGTATTTCTCACAAATTCTTGTATATGAAATGTTTGTTTTAAGTAGGGCTTATAGCAGCAGCATGTGGGCAGTTGGATGCTGTCTTGAAGAAAAGTGGGACAAAGACAACTGCAATGAGCAACGGTACTTCAGCAATAAAATCTCACCAATATGGAAATGCAGACAAGACTCCCAATTGGTCATTAGGTGTTGTATATAGCAATGGGAATGGTGTTCACTGTTAAAAGGGTAATGGATTTTTGTGTTCGTTTTACTCTCTCGGACCTCTCTGTTTCCGAGCGGCCTATCAATTTTGCTAGGAGCTTTTTTGAGTTGGTATTGGGTAGGTGACTAGGTGTTCTAGCTCTCAGATGAACTCAGTTCATAGAATAGAGCTTGATTCCGGTCTTTTTAAACGGAACAGCCTGTTGTATGTACCAGCAAATTGCAATTTTGATGAGGGAGCAATGAACTTTTTATTAGTTTTATATTTTATATATATTATCACTGTTTTGATTGTTTAGGTCAACAATCTGGCAAGTTTAGGTTGTGACTTTTCTTGTGGGGGGCTTGGTTTGACTGGGGAAAATCTGTCCAACGGATCACGCCCATGAAGGGAAAGTATTTTGTATTGGTTCTACTTGTAATCACATGAAATTTGGTTTGTAGTGGCATATGAAATAACAGAACATAAATTTAGCAATACTTTTCCTCCCTGGACTACAAGTTAATTATATCCTTAATGAAAAGAATAATGATAATTATCAATCAATCATCTTTTTATACATTACTGAGTTTAAAAAATGGGTCTAACTCAAGGGCCATCCCAACAAAATAAAAAATAAACAAAAAAAATAAAAAATAAATTGGCCAAAAAAATAGTTATGAGTCAAGAAAAATTATCGATCTTTGTAAAGATGTATTTTGAAAAGTAGGATCGGTTTGAAAGTTTATCGTCCTTGTTGATGTTGTCTTCATTGTTATTACTAATTCTGCCGTCGGATATTGAAAGCTTATCGTCCTTGTTGATGTTGTCTTCATTGGTGTTACCAATTTCGCCGTCGGATATTGAATACCGTCAGAAACTAGAGTTAAGAAGGAAGTATACCCATAATGGTATGGGAGAAGATTTGAGAGAGAGAAGAACCATTATGAGTCTCAAAAAATTAAAAATCTATGCTAAAATTTGAGGAGAAAACTTTTAAAACTCTTCTTTTGAACATAAAAAGTCGAGATCTATACTTTAAAAATGTAAAGTAGATTGTCGAAGTGTCACCTGAAATCACCGAAAGAGTGGCTCTTTTGACTCTTTTACCTTGCTTGAGAAAGTAATTATATTATTATTAATAAAACAAAAATACAGATTAACCAAAAAAAAAAAATTAAAAAAAAAACTTAAAAGGCCAAATAAACAATCTAATAAAAACTACAAGCTATAAACCCAAAAAAAAAAAGAAAAACAAAGTTGTCAAAGAAAAAAACTACAATTTGGGAAAAACAATTGATCTACTTAAGATGTAATTGGAAAAACAACAAGATCTTCATCAAACCTGTAATCTCCGTCATCGTTGCCAAACTCCGAACACTGTCAAAAGCTAGAGTTAAAGAAAAAAAACACCCACAATAATACGGAAAAAAGAAAGAGAGAAGGAACCATTGTAGGTGTCAAAAATTCAAAAATTTATATCAAAATCAGGAAAAAAACACTCAAAATTCCTATTTCCAAATATAAAAAAAAAAAAAAAAAAAAAAACCCTATATCTACACTTTAGAAGTGTGAAGGAGGTCGTTGCAGCTCGGCCAGAAGTCTCTTAGAGAGAAGCTCTCTTTGCTCTCTCGCTTTGAAAATTAACATATGTTAGAGCTAAGGGGTTTACTGGGCCATGTATCGTTCCATTCAATTTTCATATTCTGGATTGTGTTAATCCCTACGGTAAGTAGATGAATTGAGTTGTACTATCTTCATATTTGGGATTGTGTTCATCCCTATATTGATCGGACGAATTGATTTGTAAATATGGACTATCTCACAACCCCCTCCAAATGCAAATGTACCCAACAATTTCACATCCTTCTCAACAATGTACTTTTTCAACGACTTACAAACTGGCCATTAATAATAAAAAAATATACTAACTCTCAACAACGTATTTTTTCAACAACTTACAAACTGGTCATTAATAAAAAATGCCAAAGGAAAAGTAAAAAATAAACTCAACATGATACAAGGAAATTCTTCTAAAAAGTGCTAGAGCCATTCCTTCGGATTGATGCAAGCATCCAGTAGTTTCCATTCTTCGCTTCCCTCTTCTGGTTGCTGCGCGCAAAAGAGGAAGAAATCCTTTCAATCACGATCACAAAATTTCTGTTTTTCAACATCTTAGATTGTACATTCACATAGAAAAATGGACACAGTTGAATAAAAGCTTACATGGTTATATTCCCACCGTGCTGTTAGTGGAAGAGAAACAAGAATACTCTCAATTCTACCTCCCGTCTTGAGTCCAAATGTTGTTCCCCGATCATAGACCTTTACAAAAACAAGACGTAGAAAAAATAAAAACAGATTAGAGAGTTCTTAAAAGAATATCTCTTTGGAACTTTGAAGTTAGTTTTGATACCAAGTTGAATTCTACGTAGCGCCCCCTCCGTAATTGCTGCCATGCCTTGTGTTGATCTGTGAAAGGCATATCTTTCCTCTTCTCTATTATAGGTATGTAAGCAGGAACCACAGAATTTGCACATTCTGCATAATATCACCAATAAATATGTAAATGACCAAGTAACCTTTTATTTCCTTTATTTATTTTATTTGTGCGTGGACCCAGGAAACACTTGAAATTCTCCAACAAGGATGATAGCTCTCTAGGGTTTAACAAGTGAAACTTCCATGATCCTAGTGAAACTACTTCTACAAACACAGAAACAAAATAAATTATATTTTAAGCAATTACCAGTGGCAAAGGAAAGAAGCATTTCCTGATCATAGTCATTAAGATCATCAAAAAATATTCCCCCAAGCCCTCGCCTCTCACCCCGGTGCTGCATACAATGCAAATAGTCAATATAACGCTAAAATATGCAAACATTCTAATAATTTCAAGTCGCAGTCAAGTACAGGAAGTAATCAGAATAGGACATATGGCGAATTTTATACACCATTTTTCCACTAAATGGAGTTGGAAAAAACTATAATGCCTCATGTCTGATTGCCAGTTGGAATTTGCACAAATTTATGCACACAGCTTCATAAAATAGCACAACAGTCAAAACATGTAATAAGAGGCATACCTTGATGTAGAAGTAATCATCACACCATTTCTTGAACCGAGGATAGAAACTAGAGTCAAATTTGTCACAAGCCCTTTTTTGAACCTGCAAAAGACGGCCAACGTTAACATCTCTCTTGGTAAAAATTATTCATGCATCACCAAAGAACAAAGAATTTGGTTTGTGTGTATATGAGTGCAAAAAATTGATGTAAATCGATGTTGTAATTCTTTTTATGGCTGTTATGAATGCATACCACAACTTCAGTTGCAACCAGTTCTTTTACCTTCTTCCACAAACTTATGAATGCATACCACAACTTCAGTTGCAACCAGTTCTTTTACCTTCTTCCACAAACTTAGTTGTAGAAGGTCTAAGAAAGAGTCTAGCAGTTTGAACTCCTAACACGTGCTATTGGGGAATCATGTTTTGTTCATATGAGCAAGAAAGAAAAATTGCCATGTGAACATGGAAAACTAGTAAAAAGGAGCTTAACATCAGCTTCAGCACAAAAAAACAGAATTCAAGATTGTGATGTGTGCTTATTATACCAAATGGAAGTGCTTGACATCCTCCTCGAAGATGTAAGCAGGTGTCAAATCAGTACCGCCGCCAAACCACCATTGTCTTGGTGCTCCCTGAGAATCTGCAAGCGTAGAAAATAAATAAAAACTTTTTAAACTAATATTAAGCACAAAAACTTAAAAATCTATTACAAAAGATTCTTATGTAAACGTTGATGAGTTCTCATCTTTTCAAAGCTTGTATGATAGTATCATTATCAATGCCATAAAAAAATACCCCTCTCTATGTGTAAAACCAAACTATTGCTCTTCCATTCATCAATAACCAATGAACTGATGCGGTGATATTGAACCTCAACTCTCAGTTGCACATTGCACTAGAGAGAGATGGATCAGATGCTGTGAGTGAGAAAGAGAAACGAGAGGTCCAGCCAGAGCAGGAGGGCTTGTGCCCCTTTAATAAATCAGCCACCGCAATAAACCAATGCAAATTTGCAAGAACCATGTGTGATTTATAATTGAGGCTGCGTGAGTACCTTTTGGGGTTTCAGTCTCAAAATACCGATAATTAAAATGCAATGTTGGGGCAAAAGGGTTCTTTGGATGTAAAACCTGAAAAACAAAGGGAAATTTAAATAATAACAATAAAATTTACATGGCATATGTACAAGGATAACAAAATGACAGCTTGCAATAGTGCATTCAACAAAATAACAAGACAAGACAAACCAAGCCTTGTTTCATACTTTGTATTAACCTTTTTTTATACACAACTTGAGTTAGATGTTGTGTTGTGTTTGTTTGTTCTACGAAACTACAGTTCTGCATCTTTCACATAACTAAGACAAAACAAACCAAGCCTCGTGTCCCAATCAATTGGGGTTGGCTGTCAAGGTTATATGCTCTTTTGCAATCTTCACAAATTTATAATTTTTCGAGCCTTACATATTCTCAATGTGAAGAAAGAATAGGGGTCACATATTTTTATAATTCATTGAGCCAAATGTTGTTGCATATGTGGAGAAAGAATGGAGTTTTAAATCCCAAATAATTAAAGGATGATCAGATAAGTCATTTTCAACAATATCCTAATCAATTCATCCACCAACCTAATCTAATTCGAAATTGGAGTGTCAAACCATAAATTCACAAACCATCCATATCCAAATTACAAGAAGTAAAGAATCACAACCCAATTGATTGCAAATTTGAGAGAAGCAAAAACAATAAATTGACGGAGGATTTACCGAGCTGATTCCAGTAGCAAAAAACGGAACAGGGACAGATGAATTGGCATGATGGGCATGAACAGGGCTGGCGGCTCTATAGGCTTCGGGAGGCATGACTCCATAAACCACAGAAACATTCACGCCAGCCTTTTCCCACACGGCACCGTCCTGCAAAACCCTACTGATACCGCCGCCGCCACCGGGCCTCGACCAGACGTCTTCTTGGAACTTTCCGCCGCCGTCGACGGCCTCAATGGCGGAGCAAACGCTGTCCTGCGCCTCCCTTATCATCTTCTCAAACCGAGCCCTCACAGAAGAATTTGAATCGGAATCGTCGTTCCATTGGCGGAGAAATGTATGGGGGCGTTGGAGCTCCGGTGTCTCCTTGTCGATCATGGACATGGAGGATGAAGAAGATGATGCGTGAAGTCGCAAAAGGCGAGTTCTTTTTGGTGTAACGGTTAGGGTTTTAGGAAAAACTAGGGTTGATGAAGAAGTAGGAGTATTGGTAGAAGAAGAAGAAGAAGAAGAAGAAGAAGAAGAAAAGAAAATTGTAGCAGAATGATACGTGGTGGTGGTGGTGGTGGAAGCGGAGATAATGGTGGTTAGCATTGCGGTTAGTAGAGAGAGAGATCAGAATTTCAGAGAGAGAGAGAGAGAGAGAGAGAAGGTTTGTTGAGAGCGAGCGAGTCTGTGCATGGTCGGGGAAGAAGAAGAAGAAGAAGAAGAAGAAGAAAGGCGCATTGATTGACTAAACAACACAATTGCCAACACTCCCACCGTTTTGTTTGTTGTATATCTATATACGAGGGGCGGGGATTATCGGCCTCATTTAACTTGTGTGCGCTTTTTTAATGATTTATTTATTTTTTGGTACAGGAAAAATAAATGTTTGAATAAAGTTTGAGACCCTAAGTGGGGGTTGGAGTCTTTTGTGATTGGTCTAAAAAATAAAATAAAAAAATTTCAACCAATTCTAGGCCGACACGTGGCATTGGGGGGGGGGTCATTGGGGGTCTCCAACATTGCTGTAAATGTTTTGAGAGGGGTGAAAAGGTTTGATCAAAATACAGCATGTGATTTCAGAAGAAAATTACTAAAAATTACCCAATATATACTCAACATTTTGCAACTCCAGGAGTCAAACTTGACTCACCATTAGAAAGGCAATGCCTTCAACACTAGACTATCATTCCAATGATTTTTTAATGATTTATTTAAGGATTAATTTTACTTTAATTCTTAAATTATTAACAATTATGTTTTGGAATTTTTTTTTAGGGTCCCTGATATTAAGATTTTATATCATAAAGGACATTCAATATTTTCATAATATCTAAGATTTCTCAACATTGACCCAGAGAAATTTCAATCCAGATAAATTCTTTCCAGAGAAATTCTGTGATTTAACCAGGTCATTAATAGACTGACTTTTAGGGTGACTAGGTTCTTTGAAAAACATATTAGTAGTAGTGGATTTAACATAATCAGATCGGGCTGATTTAATAGAATTATGAGGGTATGGAGTAACTGCTTGGCTAGATGAAGCAAAAAGATCAGTAGCTAGAGTAGATGTGTAACTGGGTTTAGGAATGTTTCCAAGAACTTGGTAACGGTTAATCATTTCAATGGGATGGTATTGGGTTACTAGTTCCAAAGGACAAACAAAAGGTTGACTAGATGGGACCAAAGCTTTGGAATGAGGCCTAAGGCGAAACATCTGTTGAATAAGACAAAGGTTAGCAGCGAAGATTAATAACCAGTAAGGAGATCTAAATAAACTTGATAGTAATCCAAACCGTTGTAATAATCAGCAAGTAAATGACGACGAGCTTGAATTTGGTGATAGTTAATATACTGAGCACGTTAAGTAGTTTTCCGAGCAAATTTTAAACGGGCAATGCGATAAGCAGTTTGGTGAATTAACTCACGGTAATGAGAAATTTGGGTTTTATGGTAAGCAATAAATGGAGTGGTCATCTCTCATCTCTCAATCCTATCCCCCTGTAAAAATTCGCGGGTAAGAAAATCAGGAATAGAATTTTGACAACCAGGTATATATGTAATATCAAAATCAAAAATACTTAATATAGATTGTCATTGGGCAAAAATCTACTTACTAGCAAGATTTTGAACATCTTTTTCTAAAATGTATTTAGCAGATTTACAATCAACACGAAGTAAAAATTTTTGATTTAAAATATCATCTTGAAATTTACTGATACATAAAACAGTAGATAAAATTTCTTTTTTAATAGTACTATAATTTAATTGTGCTTTATTCTAAACACCAGAGTGATAACGAATAATTTGTTCAGATGACTGAGGAGTGACTTTCTGAAGAAGAATGCCACCATAACCAATATCAGAAGTATCAGTTTGAATAATTTTGAATGAATTTTCAGTAGGGATACCAAGACAAGGGAGAAACTTGACATATTGTTTGACTTGTTGAACAATAGTAGTATGAGTAGAAGACCAAGGAAGAGGATTGTCTTTTAACCGGTCAAACAAAGGTTGATAAGTTTTCCTAAGGTCTTTATAAAACTCAGCAATATAATTTAATGATCCTAAAAAATGTTGCAACTAGGTTTTATCTAAAATTTCAGCAGTAAACTTAGACGCAAACTCAATGGAACGACTAATAGGTAGGATAGTATTTTGGTGAATATCATAACCTAAAAATCGGACTTTAGTTTGAAACAATTTAATCTTAGGAGCAAAAATGACTAGACCATGACTCTTAATAGTGTAAAAGAAAGCAGTAAAATGTTTCCAATGTTCATTAATAGATTTAGAAAAAATAAGAATGTCATCAATGTAAACAATAGAAAAATGACTAAATTGGTTAAATATATCATTCATGATATTTTGAAATTCACTAGGAGCATTTTTTAATCCAAATGGCATGACATTCCATTCATAGTGACCAAAATGTATAGTAAAAGCAGTTTTATATCTATCTTTAAGATGAGTTTGTATTTGTCAAAAGCCATTTTTTAAATCAAATTTACTAAAAATAACAGCTTGACTAAGCCTTTTAATCAAATCTTTTTTATTAGGGATTAGGTATCGAATCCATTCTAGAACTTTATTTAATGGTTTATAATTGATAACTAAGCGAGGGACACCTCGTTCTAATTCAACATTTTTGTTAACATAAAAAGCAGAATAAGACCATGGTGATTTACTAGAACTAATTATTCTATTTTTTAAGAGTTCATTGATTTCTTTTTTACACATTTCAAGTAATTCATGATTCATTTAAATAGGGCGAGATTTAGTAGGAATTTGTCTTTCATTAAAATCTTTAATGTATGGTAATGTGACTACATATTTTTTCCTATGCCAGAATGCAATAGGTAAAGTAGAACAAACAGTTATTTCTAATTTTAATTTAAATTCTTCAATCTGAGATATAATAATAGGATCAATTAACTGTCGATCAATTCGTTTATAATTGACGTCTTCTTTGAGATATCTTAAGTGTCGAGTTAATCGATTAATAGTTTGAGAAATAGAATAATGTAATAACCCTCATCACTGATCACTGATAACGTTACTGATTACTGCTAAACTGAGACTGATTATGAAAAGTAATTGAATCGACTGAAATACTGAACTGACTGATTGAATGTACTAGTTTAAATGCATTTCTATCTGTTTGACTGTTAAATTATCTGTCCATGTTTTATGTTTAAATTGCGAATTGAAGGCCTTATCGGCGGCCGAATTCGGAATCGATTGATGTTTTCTGATCATTAGAATTAATGTGATTTTATGGCATATTTAATTAAAATGTGATTTGGTATGTTTAAATTAGATTAATTACTGATAAATTGCAAACTTGGACTTAATCACAACTTTGCCATGCCTAGTGACCCACTAACTAAACACTTTGAGCCTCATACACACTTGACCAAAACATTTCATCAGCCTCTTTCCTTGTTATTGCCAACCAGAGAGAGTGAGATAGGGAGTTGGAGTGAATTCATCTTGTATTGCTTGGAATTTGGGAAGATTGGAAGAGTTTATGATCAATTGAGCTCCTAGACCTTGAATACAAGACTTAAGGTAGAACATCCACCTTCTTGAACTTGTTTTTGAATTGATTCTCGCATGGTTCTTGAGCCTCTAGTGATTTAAGCCTAGAATTGGTCCTTATATGTTGAATTGAAGCTCATTTCATGCATGCATATTTCCATTGTTGAAATTTGAGTTGTTTTCATGGAAAATTGTTACTTGTATGTCCAAGGTCTAGCTAAGGTTCATGAATTCATCTTGTTTTTGGAACAATTGGCTCATTAGAGCAATTATTTGAAGCTTGATAGTTGTTTAAAGTCTTGCATGTTCAATTGAAGTTATGTTCTTGAAATTTGGTTTGATATTGAGTTGAATTGATCTTCCTTTGGGAATTTGGTTTTACAATTGACCTTTGAAACATGTTGTTCCATGAGTTTACAAGTGTTTTCCAGCAAATTAGCCCAAGAGGATCAAAATTCATGTTTTAAAAGTTAAATTTGAGCTTGAGGTTCAAATCTGGGAATTCTAGATTTTGAACTCATGCTCGAGCGGGTGACTGGCGCTCGAGCGTGGAAATCGTGCTCCTAGCATTTTGTTCTGTTTTTAAGTCAGCTCGAGCGGGGTAATTTGCGCTCGAGCGGGACATTGTGTCTTACGCTCGAGCGGATGTCGAGTGTCCAATCGAGCGTAATTTTCACACATCCAACACTTTTGACTGTTTTGCAGTACGCTCGAGCGGGTAAGTCTATGCTCGAGCGGAAACCTTTGCCTGCATGTCCGCTCGAGCGGAGTAACATACACTCGAGCGGGACCCCTGTTTTCTGAAAATTCTGAAAATGCTTTTAAAGTGCATCTTTGCATCCTCATTTCATCTTAAGTATTCTTAGGCCTAGTTTAAGGCATCTTAATGAGGATATAAATGTATAACCACATCGAGTCAAGATAGGGATTAAGTTATTATTTTTCCAACTGTGAACTTAGTGTGTGTTCACTCTGTAACTGTGTAGGGTTGGCATCTGAGGACGCACTCTAGCTTAACTGTAGCCCAGAACTCTGTGAGAAACAACTGTGTAAAGATATATTCAAATATGATTATCTTCTGAACAATTGAACTGTACTGTTTTCTGAAATGATACTGTTACTGAATGAATGATGTCCTAATTATGAACTGCATTGTGGCATCCTTAGCAACTACTGTTACTGTTACTGCTACTGTTACAGAGATCTCTGTCGATTCCCATGTTGGAACCACTACTGTTTACTGATATGATGGCCATCAACTAACTGTTCGGTCTGATAAGACCTGTTGTACTGTTTTGCTACTCGATGTACCACATATGACTGTTATGAATGAATGACTGATATACTGAATCAATTGACTGTTTTCAATATTGAAAGGACATTCATTCTTAACCTCTTTACGCGTTATGTTATTCACTGGGCTTTAGCTCACTGCTCATATATATATATATATATATAGGTGTACAGGAACCAGACCGTTGCTAGAAGCGTCGGGGTAATCTCCAGTTTTGTCAAGCCAATCTGTGTGCCTTACTGCAAGGTTCCGAGCCTGCCAAGCTATGGCTTAGGGGTGTTTTAATTTCCCCCGTCTGTCTCTGTATCTGTTTTTGTAAGGTTGTATAGACTGATAACACTGTACTGTACTGTCTTAATAGGGATTAAGTCCCTGACCTGGATGATTGTAAATGTTGTACAAACTGTTTTGCACTGATTATATATATGTATGAAAAGTATTTTTGCAT